GTCCAAGATATTTTATTATATCAGAAAATTCTCCTAATTTAGCATAACTGAAAAAAAAATTATAATATTTTACTTATTCATTATATGATTATCTTATAACTTATAACTTACATGTATGCTGCTTGTTCAAAATTTCCTGTATGTACACTATATTTTGCCCAATTTTTTAAAATTTCTGTTAGTACTGGATCATCACATTCAAGTTTACATCTTGCAAGAATATATGCTTCTTTATATAAATTTGCATCTTGAAATACTTCTATGGCTTTATAAGTTTTATGTATACAAAGTAAATAAGATACTGCTTTACAAGGATTGCCTTCACTTATTAATTGATATGCATACAATTCACACATATCTTTCCATGTTCTATAATACATTACTATTAGTTATTTTTTAACAATTCTAAAATGAAATTTTATAAAATGAATAGATAAAATTACATACTTCATAGACAAACTAGCTGAAAGTGAAACAAGAAAATCATTAAGACGTTTTTCTTTAGCAGCTTCATCTAAATTTTGTTTAAGATTATTACACCATACATCCATTTCTGTGACTAAATTGTGTTTATTTTTTTCAATATGAATAAATCCTAAATAATGATTGAAAACAAAACAAATATAAGTAGACAGTTATATTATATAATATAATATATATAATAACATTTTTTTTATTTTAATAATGGATAACTTACTTTCATTATTAATGTGTGACATAAAATTTTTTTGTGTAGAAAATAATACTGGTATCATATTATATGAAGTATCTTTTTGAATTTCTTCGATATCTAAACTGTCATTTTTTATTTTTCTTACAATATTTAAAAGAGAATTAAGTAAAAATGTCTTTTCATTTGTTGTATTAGTGCACTTTGAAAAATATGATCGTTCAAATTTTTTATTTTTTGTCTCCGTTTTCATTTTTATTTCTGACTCTGAAATTATTGATGATTATTCATTATTTGTACTATAATAATATAATTTTTATTATTTTTATTAATATTATTTTTATACTTTGAACAATTTGAGAAACATCTGAAATAGAACATTCTGATGTAGCCTTAGTTACTTCTAGTAAATTATTTTCAATGGAAATATTTTTATTAGTTTTATTTTCTTTTTCTTTAGGTTTACTTAATATTTTTTTAGATAATTTTTTTTGTGGTAAATTATAAGCAACTTTCCATATTCGTACTGTGAAATCTGCAGAGCCAGTTATAATAAAATCAGGATCTAATGGACTCCACATACAACACAATACAGGACCACAATGTTCCATATAAGTAGCTATTAATTCTTGTGTTTCAATATTCCATACCTAAAAAAACAGTATATATAATATAAATATTTATTTTCATAGATATTTATATTGTTATTTTATTTCTCTTTTTATTTAAATGAAATTTAAAAATTTATACCTGTGCAATTCCATCATAACTACCAGATATTAAATGTCCACTTATGTACGGACTCCATGCTAAGCAAACAACATTTTTACTATGTCCATTTAAAGTAGCTACAATTTCATTCACTTTGTAAATATCGCACTTTTCTTTTAAATTATCATTATTAGTAGAATTTTTCAATTTTGTAAAATGATCTATAAAATTAGATAAATCAAAAATAAGTATAGTACATGATTCAAAAGCAACAGCCAAATAATTTTTTAATGGAGAAAATGTTGAATCTGTTGCTGTACTCTCAGGATGCCAAACTAAACAATGTACCATTTTTGAAGCAAATTTAGCACATCCACATGTTTCAAATTCTTTATTAAAAAATGAAATTGTTCTGAAAATAAAAGAATTTTTATGAATTTTATATATCATATATTATATACCCATCATATAAAAACATACCCATTTTCAAATCCTACTGCTAAACAAGAAAAATCTGGCTTCCAAGAGAATTCTGTACACTCTTTTTTCAATACAGACTTAGGTTCTAATTAAACAAATTAGAATTTTATATTCACTATAATACAATAATATTACAATCATTTATTTGTAAATATAAAATATTACCTTGATTTGGTTTTTCTGGATCATAATATACAAGTTCTCCTTCTCCACAAGAATATAAAACATATTGTTTGTTTTCTGGATTTGGCCCCCAACTAAGAGTATATATAGTATTTCTATGATATTGTCTGTACAATGTGGGTAATTTATTATTATTTATATTAAATACACCAACTCGGCCTTCTTCAGTTGCATATGCTAATAAATTTTCTTTTTCAGGATGCCATGATATCTATATAATATAATTAATATGTATAATATAATAATTATTAAACAATTTATAATTTTTCAAAGGAATATTATTTAAAAATATCTCATTTCTAATATATTTTATTCAAAATATAATATAAATCTTACTGCGCGAATTTTTCCTTTAATTTTTTGCCATAAAAAAGTTATATTAAAGGAAGTATTATGTGCTTCTGATAAATTCCATAATCGTAACATTGCATCTCCAACTCCAAATGCAACATGTGAAGTATCTAATGGACAAGCAGCAATGCAATATACATATCCAGATTGTGTAAAAATATCATAATCTACTTCAACATTATTATCTTTTATTCCACAACAAATAATTCTTCGATCTTGAGCTAAAGTCCAAATTGTATGTCTGTAATTTATTGAGAATATTTAAATTTATGATTATTTCATAATAATAATTATAATATATTATCATAAATTTGGTAAAAACCTCTGTTTTACTCTCCAATTTTCTATTGAATTGTTTTGGATATTTGGTATATGTGCAATACAAAATAAGCCCCTAACATGATATGCATGTATTACTTTCACATTAGGTTTGCCTCTTATCATTGTTGATAAATCCCAAGAAATTAATTCACCCCATAATGAACTTGTAAGTAATAGCTTAGGTTCTATCCAACGAACTACAACCCAATTACCTATAGAAGCATTTAATTTGGTTCTATGCTGATGAGAATCAAGAGGACCTGTAGGTAATGAAATTGTTGTTTCATAACGGCCATCTCCACCAGCTTTCCAAATGAAAATTGATCTATAATTTAAAGTTTATATATTAAAATTGTGATTGCAAATATTTTATAAAATTCTTTAAATTACCTGTCTTTTCCTCCTGAAGCTAATAATAAATCTTTGTTTAGATTTCCACTTAAAATATTACTCTCTATAGGACACCATGATAAACTAACTATTTCAGTATCATGTCCTCTAAGTTTATAATCTATTTTTCCTTTACCTTGAAAATTAAAGATATAAACTAAGCCACATTTTGAGCCAATAGCTACAAGATGTGGATCATGAGGACAAGAAGAAATACAAGTACATATCATTTTTCCTAGTGAAATTGAAGAAACAATATCAAAATAAGCATTCCACGATAATACATGACCATCAGAGGTTGCTGCATATATAATATAAGGATTTTTATAAGACCAATCTACACCTATTGGTATACTTTGTTTATCCTAAAATTAAAAAAAAAATTTAAATATAATATCACTATCAATTTAATATTAATATAAAAACTTACAGTGTCTAAAAGATAAGCTACAGATAATGTTTCTAAATTCCATATTTTAATTGCATTATCATCTCCAGTAGAAGCTACTAAATTAGCATTTACTTCTTCAAAATGAGGAGTAAATGCAAGACATGTCACTTTAGATTTATGAGCATTCTTAATAATAGAATATTGTAATGTTTTATTATTTTCATTAATTTTAGCAATAACAATCATATTTCTAGCACCCCATGCTACAGTGCCATTGAAAGAACAAGTAAAAATATTACTCAAATACCAGTTTGGCGAAGGTGGTAATATTGTTTCATTCATTATTATAAGCTGAAATACAGATGAGAGATATTCTAAAATGATATATTAAGGAATGACACATATTTATAGTCTATTAAGGTTATCCGGTTTTTATTTAATATTGATTCAAACGTAAAATACACTTTTAATAGTACAATTGATAAACAATAGTTCTTGTTAGATGTTTTTATTAAAAAGAGTTAAAAAAAATTTATGATAAAATAATTTGTCATCGTTAACAAAACGTTTGAAATATATACATTACAAGTATTCAATTATACTTATATAAATATTTACTTATATTTTCATTTGCATACCTATTTTTTACATATTTTTTTTTATTAAACATTTGTTTTTATATAGTTTTTTAAAAAAGAATATTTAATTAAGATATCAAATGATGTTTACAAAATCTGTTAAAAAAATTACTTCAATAATAATGAATGTCCTATATCGATGAAAGTAGATAATATATATATATATATATAATATAATTCTACAATATATTAATTTTTAGGTTATTAACAGATAATGTATACATTGAAATATTTAATTTGATTTTATTATATTTTATTATCATTATTATTTGTTTTGTTCTTGTTACATTAATATTAATATATCGATTTATAAAGAAGTAAAAGACATTTAGGTAACCATTATTGATACAAAATATATAACCTTAAATAAGAAAATAATTATGATATATATCTAAAATGCATATATTTATTTACATAAAATAAGTGTTTTCATAATTTGTTAATAATAAGTAATAAAAATAATAATATAATACCTGATATTTTATATTTTATATACATCTATCATTAAAGTAAGAGAATTGTATTTTTAAACTTCGCTCAAAAATAGAATAGTGTAAAATAATATAATGATTTGATTTTTGCTTTCCTTCACATTAAAAACTATATTTAAATATATAACTTTTCTAAAATATATATATTGTTAAAAATTATATAATTGAAAAATTTTAAGTGATAGAAATATAAAAAAATTAAGAATAGTAAATAAAGATAGTGTATGTGTGTGTTGTGTATGTCGCATGTGTATATTATGACAATTTTAATAATCATAATTTTTCTTTCTTTCTATAAGATAAAATATATATTCATAGTACATATATTTTAGTATGGTCTATATTTCATTTAAATTTTTAAATTTTATAATAAATATAAAAGTATTAAATTTACATACATTAAAATATTCAAGATATAAAGAATAAAATTATAATTAAACATAAATATTTTTTAATACTGAATTTTTAATATTGAAATGGAATGTGAGATCTTTACATAAATCACAGTTTTAACTATGACTAATGTACAACGTTCAAAACTTATTCGTAGTGACAAAAGTTGAACAGAAAACGTTCAGAAAACAGGAACGTATTATTATTCGTATATTTAAGAACTTAAACAAATATCAATACATTTTTATTATTAAATTTTTCTAATAAAGTATTGTATGAAACTTTTTTTATATTTTATAGTATTATTTTTAATATTTTGTTTAATTTTTTAGAATGAAGAGACAAATTGTAATATTTTTATCGCTATTTATTTTTCATTCCGTGATTTCATTCAGCTTTAACTTTGAATTATTCAATCATTATAAAAAAAGTGAAAATGAAGATTTGTATGAAAACCTCGACATTGTAAGTAGAATTATTATTTTTATTTTTATTTGTAAGAAATCAAATTTTATATGCATATAATAGTTTTGATTATAAGCAATATTTATTTTTAATTTTATCAATAATTATTTTTTAATTTTTATTATAATTATTTTTTAATTCATTTTTGTGTATGAAAATAATATCCAATAAAATAGAATATTTAAGAAAGAAAATAAAATATTTATCGGAAAATGTAAGAAATTTTTTTTAATTATTATCATTGAAAATTAGTTGTCTGCAAAGTGATTTACATGTAATAATTTCTGTTCTGTTATATATTTTAATTTCTTTAATATTTGTAAATTGCTAAACATGTTATGTTTTTAAATTACTATGTGAATTTACATGTTTATTCATGTTAATTAAATATTTGAAATATATTTATCACATTAATATTTTTAATGTATGGAAAAATTGGATATAATCTTAACAAAATTTTAATAATAAAATTATTTATTTTTATTATTAATACATAAAATTATATTATATCATACTATTTTGTTTTTCTGAAGTTTTCTTTTTTTAATAAATAACATTAATTGTTAATGATTTAATTTTTATTGTAAGTATTAATGATATAATTTTATTGTAGTTGCAAATAATAAGAAAAGAGGGTTATCCGGCTGAAGCACATGTAGTTTTAACAGAAGATGGTTATATTTTAACAATGCACCGAATTGTAGGGAAATCTGGATCTCCTACAATTTTTTTACAACACGGCGTGTTAGGTTGCTCTATGGATTGGATTGTACTTGGCAAAAAAAATTCTCTTGGTACGATATGTATTATTTATATATGTATTTATATATGTATTTATTTAATAAAACAATATCTATTCTAAAATTAAATTTAAATTAAAATTTAAATTAAAATTTAAATTAAAATTAATTCAAAAATAAAAATTAAATCTTTTTGTGCTATATATTTTATATTTATAAATTTTAATAAATTATTATTTTACATTCTAATTTTTACGATTATAGCTTATTCATTAGCTGATAATGGTTACGATGTATGGCTTGGAAATTTTCGTGGCAATACTTATTCAAAAGCGCATATTTCTTTATCACCAGAAAATTTAACGTTTTGGGATTTCAGGTATTTATAAACAATAAAAATTAATGATAATTAAAAATATAAAATAACAATACATTGTAAATAATTAAAAGTATGTTTTAGAAAAATTTTCAGAAATATGTGTAGAATAATAATTTTATTTTTATGTAAAAAAAAATCATATTTTATATATAAAATAATTAAATAATTAATGAGTATTTTAAAATTTTTAATATTACTTTTGTGATAACATATTTAGTTGGCATGAATCAGGTATTTATGATCTACCGGCAATGATCACTTACATTGTAAAATTGAAAGAAAATTCTTTAAGAGCGTACATTGGATTTTCAATGGGTACGACATGTTTCTATGTGATGGCCAGTGAACGACCGCAAATAACAAAATTAATACAATCAATGTATAGCCTTGCTCCAGTAGCTTTTTTGAAACATATACGAACTCCTTTACGATATTTAGCTCCGTTTGCATCTGATTTTAAGGTAAAAAAAATAATTAATAAACGATTATAATGACTTTCTTGAATGTTCTTTCAACATTTAAATTCTTATTTTTATATCTATCATTGAAAGTAATGAATATTTTCGTGTTAATTTTCAGAAAATAATGTATCTATTTGGAGATGGAGCATTTTTACCAAATAGTTTTATTACAAGATTTTTAGCAAAATATTTGTGTGATATGAATTTTCGGGAGGAAAAGATATGTAGTAATATACTGTTTATTCTTGTTGGATTTGACGAAAATCAATTTAATTACGTGAGTACAATAATTTATGTAAAAATTTGTATTAGATATAGTAGAATAATTTTAATATATTTATACAAATTATTGTAGACACTGGTACCTAAAATTTTGAATTATCAACCAGCTGGCACATCTTCTAAGACTATGGTTCATTTTGTTCAAGAAATAAAATCTGGAAATTTCCAACAATATAACTATGGTATAGAAAAAAATTTATTAATTTATAATAGTCCTGAACCACCTAGATATAATTTATCAAAGATAACAATACCAATCGTATTGTTTTACGGTAATAATGATTGGTTGTCTAGTCCTCAGGTATTTATATATTTCGAAATTTTTTTAATAAATATAGATATTTATATAATTTTCTTTATATTATTTAATTATTATTATTAATTATTATTATTTAATTATTCTTTATATTGTATTCTATTTTTTGTTTAGGATGTTATAAAGTTAACCAATGAATTACCAAAGAAACCAATTATCTATAAAGTGTCATATGCGAAGTTCAATCATATAGATTTTCTATGGGCTATGGATGCTCCTAAACTAGTTTATAAAAAAGTGCTTAAGATGTTGAAAGAATATTATAAATAATATAGTAGATTTAAATAATATTTACTATTATTATATATTTAGAAAAGTTTATATAAAATATACAACCATAACATAAATTAAAAATTATAATTATAAAAAAATTATCTTAGGTATTTCAATTTAGATTTTTTGTTATATATATATATAAAATGTAAAATAATTTAAATTTAATAAAAATATAACTGCATAACTATATTATAATATAAAAATATAACTTTAATTATATTATAATTATATCGGTATATATTTAAGTTATCGCTAAATAAATCTTTCTAAATAAAATATAAGAAAGTTGGATGATTATAATTATGTTCCAAAAGATTTCAGAATATACATTGTTATCCAAACAATAAAAAATCTAGAAAATCTAGAAAATTTTTTGATCTATTTATTCCAATATCTAGAACATATGATTTGGTAAATAATCTGGTCAGCCAATCGATTCGATAGTGCATCTTGAATATTAACCCAACTTAGGTATTTGCTGTCCACCAGATTACGTAAAATGTATTGATGTCATAATCTACGGATCGGGCCACAAAGCCATGGCCTACTTGGTGAAAATTTCAGACAAATTTCTATTCCACACAAGAAAATATTACACTGATGTATCGAATAATAATTCAAATTTTACAACATCGTTTTTTTTGATTCTAATTGATTTTTTGATATATATTTCATTATCATTTGAATCAATGAATATCATTCGTTTTTTAATATAATAAAATAGAAAGATTCACAAAAGTATAATCATTTTTAAGGTATTTCTAGAGTCTTTATAGACGAATCATTCTAAAAAATCAATGTCGATAAATTCTCTTATTGATTGTGTAATGGAAAATCACTAGTGGTATCCGAGAATCCCTCAGGGATATATCAAGGATGTGACCTTACGTACGATTTTCAGATTTTATTATATGAGCTTGGATAACTTAGAAAAAAAAGAAAAAAAATAGTTATCATCATTTATAATTGATTTTTCAGATCTTTTGAGAAATAAATAACGAAGATAATTGATTAACATGAAAAAAATTTTTCGGAGAAAAGTATAAAATCATTTCTTAAAAAAGTTATCCCATACAATAGGATTTTTTAAATTAAAAATCATAAAATTTCTCAAATGATTCGTTGGAATTGGAAACAATTAGAAACTTCTTATAATCACTTAAGATTTAAAAAAACTGCTATTTTTACTATATATTGATTACGTACTAATTCAACAATGATAAAAAAATTATATTTAATATGCATTTGTAGTAATTATTCTATATAATTATTAATATATTTGAATATATTTAGTAAGTTTATTATAACATGTGATACTATTTATTATCGATCGATAATTCAGAAATGATTCTATAAATAAATAAGTAAATTTCACTATTTATTTTAATTAGATAAATAGATATCATTGAACTTAATTATTATTTAATATTATTTAATTAATTTTACTTAATAAAATTTTATTATAATTATTAAAAATAATAAAAAATAAAATAAAATTTTTAATTTTCTAAAAATTTTATAAAGAGTTTATAAAGATGTAAATTATAAATATTAAATAGTTTACACAAATTAAATGTTCAACATGCTATGTATATTACAGTTATCGGTTACATTTCGATTACTTTTGTCAATTTTTTACATATACTTACATATTATTTAATTCCAGTAAATGAAATTGCTTGAATAATTCTTAATATAATAATTCGATCATTTATTGAGCCATTTTCAAATTTCGAATCATCATTGTTAAAAACCATATTTATAAGATATATATAAAACATATTCACATTTTTAATATAATTTTTATACACTTCTTGCACGCTTGTCAATTTCTTCTGAATTCACAAGAATCTTATAATTCATCAAAAAAAGAAAAAGGAAAAGAAAAAAAATATTAAGAAAAAAGAATCAATATTGAATTTATTCCAGACAAACAAACGAAAACAGCAGACAGCAAGCAAACAAAACGATTTTCATCGTACCATTACGATCAGGTTGCACACGAGCATAGTCGCGAGACACGCACGTGCGTGCATGGTTGGTTGTGCGCTTGCGTTTTGTAGTGGCTCCGCGCGCGGCGAGGCGCGGCTGGTAATACAGAAAAGCCATGGTCCGATGGAACAAAAAGAGCAGAAGGAGAAACAGGAGGAACAGAAGCGAGCTCGTCGCGAAGGTAGAACGCGCGTGTACCGCGTGCACTTAGTTTATCGTGTATCCAGAAAGAGAGAAAGACAGAAATAGAAAAAAAGAGAAAGATAAAAGAAAACAACGAGCACGACTCTCAGAGTCTCGAACTCGAGAAGTCTTCGCGAGTCCGGCGAACCGACACACCGCTCACCGATTCCAAAGTCCGTCGGTAGGCTCAGTTGTCTCCGAACCCCCGTACTGTTCGGATGTAGCTACTTTTCGAGTTTTATTTAAGTTTTTTTTCACGTTTACGAAATTTGCTTGTTTCGCCGTTATTCGCTGTATTCTTGTCTCTGAATCCATCTTATTTTTTGAATTTATGTTCGTTTTTCACGGACTCGTGTGATCGTTGTGCGGTGGAACTCAATTTTGAAGAAAAAGGAAAAATAAAAAAAACAAACTTGATACGAACATTTTACGGAAGGAAACATAAAAGGAGAAAAGTTTTTGTTCCGTGGTTGTCAATAATTCGCTTTTACTAGAATTGTTATTTTTTTTTTATTCACTTTTCCACGGTTACATTTGATTGCGTGCAGTCAATTAGAAAAACGAGAAAAGAAGGCAGAGCGCTGGAGCGGCGAAGAAATCGAAAGAAACTTGAGGAGAAGAAAGGAAGAAAATCTCATCGTTTGAACGAACGAATAATCGAGCATCCTTAACACGTAAGCAAACATTTTTCTTTTATACATTTTCTTTATTGATTTTTGATAGATTTCGAAAAATTCCTTAATTACTATTAAATCAATTGATTTTCTTCTCAAGCAATTGAATCAATCATTTTCTCGTTGTCCATTTCTTGGTTAGTTAGGAAACGTATCACAAGGAAGTATACGCGCTCAAGCCATGCACATGTACAGTTATTTAATATTTATCACTGGCGACCTCATTTATTTTAAGTTATCGGATATCGGTATTCTGCTTGAGTTCGCGCGCGACACCAATGCAACTGTGGAAAAAGCTGATGCGAGAAATCGGATACGAACGAAAATAGTGGTCTGCCAAAGGCAGAAAGTGTAACGTGAAATTGTCATCGGTATATACTTATACGCTGTGTGACACGCTCATAAAAGTGAATTTAAAAGTCCCGGTCAATTATTATATTGATGTATATGTAAGATTGACTTCTTGTATTTCAGTAGATCCGTGATCTATATTTATCTGTTATAACTTATATAATTAAAATTATTCTTTATTATATTGGATCATTGAATTCAAACGAACGGTAATTCAAAACAAATAAATATCCTGCTAAAGAAATGGAGTTTTTATTTAAACTTTACAATTAATTATTTTGTTGTGATCTGATAGTGATTTAAATATCATGTCGAACGATGTGAATATTCGAGAAATAGCAATACGAAGATAAACAATCATATAAAGAGCATTTCTCAAGTAAAATGAATTTGAAATTCTATTTCATGTCGCGTTTTCGACGATATTTGGAAATACAATAGCGACATCTTGCTTCAGATCGTATATGCATAAATTAGGTTAGATGATATTGTAAATGATTTAGAAGATTGTGAATTTGTTATTAATTGTAATATAATAAATAATAAAGTTTGATAATAATTGTGAAATAAATCATATAAAAGTGACAAAATTTGGATATTTATGTTTTTTAAATTAATTCGTTGATTTATTTTTTTACGATTCATTCATGCCAAACTATGCAACAAATTAAAGATAAATGGAAATAAGAAAAATCAAAGAAATGAAATTAATGAAAATGATTAAACTTTAAATACTTCTATGCAAAATAATGAAGGTAAATAAAAAAATTTTTTACAAATTTAAATCAGTATAATTTTATGTTATATATAGAGCATAGAATAGAAAATGTAATGTAATATAAATATTATAAATTATAGATAAATTTAAAAATAATAATTAAGCAAATAATTTCAGCAATGATAAAAATTTTATTAATGAAGATAAATAAAAATGAAATTAATGTAAGATTCTAAATAAATCTATATTATTCAGAATATTATAAACAAAAATCATAAAAAAATATATTATACATAGCAAAGAAAAAAATCTTTGATAAAATACCTAATAAATATCAATAAAATATCTTAAAATATCTAGTTAAATTATGTATAACATTAAAAAAAATAATTATTTTATTTTTTAAAATATATATATATTTAATGTAACATAATATAACATAAATATAAATTAATTTATGAAAGAAAAAATAAATATTATAAAAAAAAGGATTGAATAGCATATGGAAATAACAATGATTTATAATAATAAATAAAATGAGTTTGCATCAAATGTATACTGTAAAAAATCAAAATAAAACATGATAGAATCTATATGTAAATATAATAAATAAATTTTTAATTGAAAGTTAATTAAAAAGTAATTGAAGAACTAATCAAGAAAATGTATAGAAGATAAAGAGAAAATAGAAGAAGATATAAATTGTTATAAAACATGATCATTGTTATAAAACATTGATATTTTGTACGCGATTTCGTATATATATATATATATATATACGGCAATTTTGTTACGTATCATCTCTTTGAAACATAATTTCATCTAGATGTTATGTTTATTTTATTAAGAAAGAATTTCGTGATTACATAAATTATAAACAGAATAATATAAATATATAGCACATTCATATAAGTTTTTATATAAATATTTTTTTAAATTTTTCAAATGGTATAAAAATACAAATACAAGCATATTCCATGCAACATCTTTATGAAATTATTGCTCTAATTTATGGAATTATCGTGATTTTATTCTTTATATATGTAATGTTGAACTAAATGAGTTATGACAAATCATTATATCGAGAAAAAAAACATTTACCTGCTATGACTCCTAATATAATGTCTAATTGTTTCGAACAGTGACACAGAACAAAAGAATGCAAATGAACAGTGTTACGAGTTATGTTTCTGTTAGGTACAGCTGCGTTGAATTATCTTTGAAATTATGATTTTATTCAGAATATCGAGATTCCAACGAATCAAAAGTCAGCTAATATTTTGTCTTTGTCTTTAATTAAATTAAGATTAAATTAAGACGAAAAGAATACAGGGTATAAACAATAAAAAGGTATAATTTAAATACCATTCAATTTAATGATAACTGATCGATATTATGTTTTTGCTTCTGTCTAATTACAGTTTATGATTCGTCATTTTTATTGATTACAATTTGAATTTAATTTTGAATTTTGAATTTTTATATTAGCACATTCATAAATATATAATTTATAAAAATAAAAAATAAATTATAAATATGCTATATTATAACTATATTATATATATTTGATTTAGATTAATTATACTTACTTATATTATCTTATATTTATATCTTTTGTTATTATATTATTTTATATTGTCATTTTTGATGACATTTAATAAACATGTTTAGTGTTTTGTCCAAATTTCTAATTTGAAATGAATATACTTACTTATACTTATCATAAAAAACATTAAATGCATTTCCTCATATCATTGAATCTTTTTTTTAATCGATGCATTGCCTTCTTTTATTTCCTATGTCCGTATAAAGTCTGACCAACTTTGGTTAATCAGTATTTACGTCAATATCTTAACCTCGTGTCTCATTGTTCAAGCGAAAACCTTTGTAAAAGTAGTTACAGAATAAGCATACGATCAGTAAAAGTAAAACGCATTGTGACTTGTTTAAATAGATTTACGAAGCAAAAAATTGTCTTTTATACATTCAACTTGATCAAAATTTACTGAAAGTTCGTTACAAAGTTAATTGATCTTAATTTTTTTTTAATTCTTTAATATTAAGAAATTAAGCATAAATGTATTACATTGATGATTAGAGTTAAAATGAAGATTAGAGTTTATGAAAATAATATATAGATTTAATTTTTCTATTTGAATAAAAATCAATATTAATTTTGAAAAACATTTGTATGTTCTAATAATCGCAAAAATAAAAGAACTTAATTTTAATCTAAGTTGAACAAATTTTAGTTAATTAAAATTAATTAATCTTTGGATTGATAAAAATCAGGTGATTGATTCTTATGATCATTTGTAATCCAAATTAGATTACATTCTTTAAAAATTATTTTTTTAGCAAAATTATGTATTAATTAAGGAATTATATTTATTAATTGTACTATTAATTATATATATTATTAAGGAATACTTGAGAAATCTACTAGAAAAATTTTAAAAAGTAATTATTTTTTAATGATCTAGGATGGATAAATCAAGATTAATAAGGATAGTAATGAAAACTTTTCTTGAAGTTTTCAGAATATTTTTATATATAAACATTAATGATATTTACGCATTTTACGTATCGAAATTTTAACAAGACTAATTTCCATTGTTATATTATGAGATTGTAACTAGTTTTGAATTCTCGTATGTAGTATGAAGACTGCATAGTAGATGCTTACGCCTTGGAGTATTTTGTTGTGAAACGATTGAAGCATTTACGAGTCGATAGTTCTACGAGGACTTTCTAATCTGCCGTATATACGTACAGGGTGTCTCGCAAGGTGTGCCGTGAATGCTGCGAGTGACAGATTCCTAAGTCGAAAATACGTCGACCAGCATCGTTTTTTCGCTATGATTCCTGAGTTTTCAGTTGCACTAAAGTATGTGACAATATTCAAAATATATTCAATTTCATTACGAACACTGCAGGTGAGAGAATTTAATTAAATATGAAAATTATTATTATTTTTTCTATTAATAATAATATTTTTGCTTAACTTGAAATAGATAAAAAAAATATATATTTTAATTTGCTAAACAGTAATGATTTATTTTTAAGTTGACAATAATTAGTATATTTTATTTTATCATATCGATTGTAATTTATTATCGAATAGATAATTTATTTTTTAGTTCGCAAATCTTCTCGAAAGCATCGTATATAAATTTGTTACTTGAAGATTCTTGAATTTACTGGAACTTGACGAACCTGTTTCTCATGTCGCGACTTTTGTCGCAAATTTCTTGATTCGAAAGTACGATAACTTGTATGAATCTTTCGCAACTGCTATTGATTATGTGAATATTGTAGATATTCTAATCAAATGTATGAGAAATTGTTTGAATTTTTATAATAATTTGAAATTATATTAATTGTAATCCATTATTCAAATTATAAACGAATTTTTTTTTCGATTTGATTTATATATATGTGAATCTTTCGATCTTCATCATATTGAAAGTATAAATATACATACAATTATTTCAATAAAGGCATTCAATGCGAAACGAAGTTGCATATGGTTTCAGGAATGCAGTACACGTGGAATGCCATTCAGATAAATTGTATTTTTTATTATAGGAGGGTTGGATTCTTTAAATTTTTTAATATGTTGAACGATTCGAAAATTCATCTATGAATGACTATGATGATGTACGTTTCGAATTAATAATTAAAATTGTTTCGCTTAGACAAATATTTGATAAATAGATATAAATAGATATAAATTTGGATATATATTTAGCCGAAATCATTTAAATAAAAATTTCTTAAATCGTGTAACGTCAAATTGTACGATCATGAAATTTAATTCTAAAGAATTTCAATATTTTCACAATTAAGAAAGATGATTTTAAAATATAATAATATAAAATTAATTTTGCTACAAACTTCAAATTTTTATGTTTCCAATAATCAAACATATTCTATCATTTCAACAAAAACTTCAGCATAAAATTGAAATGAAAAATTACATTTTTTGATATTATAATATTAGTCATGTTTAAAAATTTATTAAATAATAAAAAAATCACGAATCAATTGAAAATAATTAATAGCTTATTATTATTTTCAATATTCTATTTCTTGCTAATCTATAAATGACGATTCATACATGTAATTCAACATTTCTGATATTTCCAGTTTTACAACACTTAAACGAGATAATGCAATATGCGTTTTTTCCACTAACTTTTCACGATTACCTATACACTAACTTTATCGTCGGCCATTAGTGCATTCTTATCCTAGGAAAGGTTTCGAACGTGAATATTACATTGTTTAAACGCAACAATAACAATGCAGAGACGAGGATTCTTGCATCATTTGGGTCAGCTTTATCCGTATTTACAATGGCGCATACGGGTGATCACGTACCGTTGAAAAACAAAAGCGAGGATTTTCAAAAACAGTATTTCTTCGGAGAAAAAAATTATTTCCTATGGAAATAATGTTAATATGATTTGTATATGACATACTATATGTTAAACATATAATAAATGAATAATAAGGATTCATTGATTGATAATTATTAAATTTATATTGGATAATTTTAAATTGCATAGATCAATAACTTGTTTATGATTTGTATATCACTATTAAAAAAAAGAGTGTGAAGAAAGTTACAAAAAAGAGACAAACAGAAAAATTTACCATGTTTAAGAATCAAGGTGAACTTCTCGTTGAAGAACTCGAGTGTCATATTTTTTGTTTTTTTTCTATGAGAATTGAAAAAAAAATTACAAGAAAAATTGTTGTAGCCTTGCAAACTTTGGACAAGGTGATTTAAAGTACCAAGTATCAGGACACTATACATCTTCGATAGATGCAACCAACAAGTTTTCTAATATATAATATTTTTTTTCTATTATTATGCTTTCTTATATTTTTTTGAATTTAATGTATTGCATTTTCTTTCAGCATTTCTTTTGCATTAATCATGTTATTATTAAAAATTTTTATCTACTCACTTTATCATTTTTCTATTTTTTTTAATTAACTGAAATGCATTATAAATAAATATTGGAACTTATTGCGAAAATAAATTTCAAAAGGTTACAAATTGTTTGTTTTCACAATCTTAGTGAAAAGATGTACAACTGTATTTGGAAAAATTAATTTGACTCTAAGGTAAAAATATAATTTTATATATTTATTTACATATTTCCATTATCTATTACAGTATATTTATAGTATACTTAAATATAAATTTTAAACATTATAGATCGATAATTTTATTGATAAGATCTCAATAAAAAACTAGGTTATACATTATCAAAAAACTAGGTTAAACATTACATAATATTGTATATAATATTATATAATATCGAACTATATAATATCGTATTATATAATATACATATATAATATTATATAATATCGAAAATTACATAATAAAAAAATAGTTCTTAAAATATTGAAAATTATCGAAAAAAGAAACTAAGTTGTACTCAGTATAGATATCGAAATAATGTTTAAAATGTCGAAAATTACTCAAATGGTTAAAAGTCTTACAATTAAAATATATTTTATTTATAGTGAAGTCTTTCTAGTATTTGATATAAATGATACATTTTAATCTCATATATTTTTTTTATTATTAGTTATTATATATTAATGATTTCTTAATTATCTTGATATAATTTTTATGGATCTAATATATAAGAAAGATATATATTATATTATTCCAAAATGTTTTATTGAAAATAAGATAATTATCATATAAAGTTCATGCGATTTTTCTCAATGATTTATGAATTTTCTTTTCTAATAAAAACGATAAAAATATTGACATCACGATCGATCAAGATGTTTGCATAAAGTTCATATTTTAATGCGTCTGACATCATCTAAAATGATGATGAGGTCAATAAGATGTTTGATTTTTATTGAAGAAAAAAAGGAAAGAAAAATTCAAGAAGAATAAGGAAAGAATAAAAAGCAAGTATCATGGTAAGCGGAGAAAAGGCGGGAAATTTTGAATAGCGTCCAAAGCCATTTATCGAACCTTGACCTCGTCGTTTGCACTCCAATTAATTTCAAGGCAAGGCACGCGCACCCCTTTCCACCTTCTAAACTATGTTTATATGCTAAAAGTTGATAATAGTTTGTTACGTCGTATACATGCGTAATGCAATCGAAGCTTGCAGGAGATCGTTTTATGGATGTCATTAGCATAAGCTGGTTTCCTAGCTGGTCAATGATAAAAAATCAAGATACGGAAATTGGCTTCTTTTACCATAGCTTCTGAGAATGCTTTTAAATGCAATTTTTATACACCTTCCAAGAATAAAAAGAGAAGCTTGCCTGTCGAGGTATTAAAACCCGATATACAAGCTAACGATTAACACCGTGGACAACTTCTGTTTTTTTAACGAGCCGGATTCGTTGAAAAGAGTGCCAATTAATTACATGTTTCATATATAGAAACCGTCGTCAAATATTTCCTCCATATTTGCTTCCCTTCTCTCTTTTCTATAATCGACGATTGAAAATGAAAAAAATTTTAAAAATCCAGTGGTATAAGTATTCTTTTACATATTCGTTTTTACTATATACATATATTACGAACATACTATTATACTATAGTGTGATATATATAATCTTGTTTTTTTTTTGCGCTATTGACGAAGTATGGGATAAAAAATATCGAAACATATGTTCGATATTAACATGTTATGAAATTCATAACGGTCGGATAGTGAATGGATGACTGGAAGCATCGATAGATTCGTTCTCTCGATGTACAGCGTCCATTTGTTTGCAAGAGAAGAGGAGAAATGGTACAACAAGATCCGCGGTTAAAGCAGAGTTGAAGGTCGTTGGGAACTGGTTAGGGTGGGTATTCTGTTCTCGTGGTACTACACTTTGGTGGCCGAATCGTGTTCAAGTAAGTCAGGGTCATGCAAACCGTGTTTCTGTGCTATCGATATAAAAGTGAGAATTCAGTTACGCATATTTACTACACGTACGACGATACTTAATTACGCATACCGAAGATAGACTGATTTTTCGATGCGTATAACCATATTCCTTGTGTAAATATGGCGGCGCGCCACTGCGTTTGAAAAGAACTATAGAATCTTTGCTTCGATATTTCACGTTTGTTTTTACTGGCATTTTTTACGTTTTGTTAAAAAAATAAAAATTGTTAACGTTTAATCAAAATCTAGTACGATTCTAATTGTTGAAATCCAAATCATCTGATAATATTCTAATGAAAATCAATAAATTTTATTCTTTTTAAATTTTTTATAATTTTTATAATTTTTATAATTTGAATTTACATCAAATTTAATTATCGCTTTTACAATTTAATAATTACATTGTATAATAAGAATTTTTTATAATTTATAATTTTTATAAGTTTTTATAATTTATCAGCAATATTATCAGGAATAATCTATCAAAATTATATTTTCAATTATTTTTATTATTTTCAATTAATTACAATTTTAATTTGATATCCCAGTGCAGTATTTTCGATTAAAATTTCAAAGAAATTGAAACATTATAAAATTTTATATGATATATTTTACAAAAAAAAAATTTTTTTCGAAAAAAATCTTCGGCATTTGTTCCAAAAAATGTCAGATTTTTCATTGTATCTATTGTACGAAAGCCACGCGTTTCAATGGAAAACAATTCTCACATGTTTTCTCTTCGGAACATGTTTTCTCGAAGGACGAAACGAAGAATTCTCGTATCGCTTGCTTGCTTGGTACGGCGGTATTCTTGTTATGCAACAGAAAGATTAGTTATGTCTTTTCGTCTTGCTTTTCCGCAGCTTTGTCTTTCGCTAGAAGAAAGAAAAAAAAAGAAAAGAAAAAGAAAAGAACGCCCTGCATGGAAAGGAACGTGAATCTCGCGTTTTATCCATGTTTTACCCGTTAGTACGAGGAAACGCGACCTTTCGAAATGGCGGGAAAGGTTTTTATTTTAAACTTGACAGGTTTTTCGTTGTATATTCGTGCGCATGCTAGCCTTCCGCGAACTGCTTCGATCTTGATTAACGACCATAATAAAACCAAGGTTTACTTATTCTTCTTCTATGATCTTCTCTCGCATAATTATCACGATTTGATCGTTTTAAGATAGATCGTATGCATATTATTATATATACTGTTTTTGTGATTGTTGAATAAATTGGATCTATTGAATAAAAATTTAAAATACGTATAAATAGACATAATACTATAATATTTTCAGAAAAAAAAATGTAAAATTTTTATGTAAAAAAATATTCTTTCACTGACAATTATTTTTATTACATTTATATTTTATTATTTTATTATTTATTATCATTTTAATTAATGATTTATCAATTTATTTATTTTTATTATTCATAGTCACATTTGTTATTGTAAATTGATAAAACTAAAAACTTATTTATTTTTTAATTAATCTCACTCTCAATTTTAATTGATACATATAGCGCAATTCCACTCTTTTTCTAATTTAAATTCATCGTGAAGATTCTTTAAAGCGTGTATTCATATGCTTAACGATTATCGTGCTCAGAAAGTCATCAGAATTCCATCTCATAATTTAAAATAGTCGTTCGTTCGATCATGGAATATTTTATAGATACGAAATGACAAAAAAAATATATAAGATCTTCAAATCTTAAAATAATATAAGTAATAAAATCTCAAAAAATATTTAATTTAAAGAGTATCATTGTGGTTTTTATATAATTATGCTTAATATACAATGAAATTTAACAATGAATAATTTTCAAGAAATATTAAATATATGTCCTTAATATAAATAGAATAATGAATTCTATAATCTGGATTTTTTAAATTTCGATCAAATGTATTCCCTTGTAAGAAGGATAGTGATACAACTCAACGTTTTGAGAAGTGAAGAATTTAAACATATACACTATTAATCGAATTTCTATTATCTATACATTATTATGTACACTTATATATTTCACGTAGCGAACAAACTATGGTGAAATCCAACAATCTTTCAAAAATTTCAATCGAATTGAATCAATCGAATCGATCAAATTTGACCAGGGAGGTCTCTTCATATGAGCAAAAATTACCCTTTAACTTCTGCAGATTTCGATATGATATTCTCTTTGGCGTAAACAAATGTGTTTAAGAGGGGGCGGAAGAAAGTCAAGTACTCGCACATAGTTTGAGAAACGCTGCCAATGAAATCAAGATTCGGGAGAAGGGGGGGATCAGAGCGCGCAGAAAGAGTTAGCGAACGAGGTGAAGGTATTGCGAGCGCCGCTTAATTGCGATGCACGCCGTACGACACGTGTCACGGCATTGTGCGGCCGGTCACGCATTCCCATCGATTACATCGACGACAAACGAATTTACAAGCGCAACTGGAACGTGATTCGCGAACGCTTCAATAAGGCCTTTCCAAATGAAAAAAAAAAAAAAAGAGAAAGAAAGAGAGGAATAAAAAGTAAAAAGAAAGAAAGGAAAAAAAAAAAGAAAACCATTCCCTTTAAACTGCACGATTCGTGACGAGGTCTTCGCACGCCTCTTCATACCAATGAACGATCCGTTATAAATCGCTTTTACAGAAAATACGCGCTGTTGCACGCGCGCGCCACCGTCCATAACTATCAGCCTATAATATACGAGACGTTCTTTCTGCACCTCGATACGAAAATATCTCGTCTTCCTTGGCTGAGGCCAGGTTTTTAACTATAAAACCACACGGTTGGAATATCTTCCCTGATAAATCGTGGGATCTTAATTCTCGAGAGATTAATCAGATTGTTCGTGTTGCGTGCAAAAGGGAAAGGAATTTTTTTCAAGGAGGAAAGGGCAATTTGTTTTCGAGAGCTGTTCTCACGCTATAGTTACGTATTTAAAATTTTTTTAATACATTTCCTTTTATGATTATTAACAAATCTTCAAATAAGATTAATGATAATATATCTTTATATCATTGCGTACAACCAATTTTAACATTTATTTTTTTAGTTTTACTATGAAATCCTGCCTGTTTATCAAATTATATATATATATACCACAATATATTAATTCGTTTAATTAACAATGTTTCAGGTAGCAAACACGTAGAATGGTAGCCTCACAACACGACGGTACCAGAAGTGTCGGTGGCGGTGGTGGCGGAGACGGTGGAGGCGGCGGTGGAGATGAGACCGTGTACACGGTGACCGTAAGCGGTGTCGGTTACAGGAACGAGGGTTACAAGGACGACGGTAACGACGGTATACCTCCTGAGCCGCAGAAACCACCGCAATTATCGTCGACGGACGATGACACACAATCAAGAAAGTTCAAACTCTCCCGCGGCGAGAAATGGCGTATATTGAAGAACATTAGCACCGTATCCGTGGCGTTTATGGTGCAGTTCACCGCGTTTCAAGGCACGGCTAATCTGCAGTCGTCGATTAACGCCAGTGACGGTTTAGGCACCGTGTCCCTTTCAGCGATTTACGCTGCATTGGTGCTATCATGCATCTTCGTTCCCACCTTCGTTATCAAAAGGCTCACGGTTAAATGGACATTGTGTATTTCGATGCTGTGTTACGCACCGTACATCGGGTCCCAGTTCTATCCGAAATTTTACACCCTGGTACCGGCTGGCGTGCTCCTTGGCTTGGGTGCCGCGCCCATGTGGGCAGCTCAGGCCACCTATCTCACACAGGTTGGTGGTGTGTACGCGAAACTCACCGATCAGCCGGTAGACGCCATCGTGGTCAGGTTCTTCGGGTTCTTCTTCCTTGCCTGGCAGACCGCTGAACTCTGGGGGAATCTCATTTCTTCGCTGGGTAAGTCAAAGTCTCGTTTATCTTTTTTCCTTCCTTCTTGAGTTAAATCCAACTTATTTTATTTTTAGATTTTTTTTATTTTTTCATGTGTTTAAACTTGCGTGGAAGTATGTGTATACAGATAAAAATTTTCTTATTTAACTTGGATTAAGTTTCCGTAGAAAGACGTACGCAATTTTTTTTTTTTTTTTTTTTTTTTTTTTTTTAGTTAAGTTTGGTTAAGTTTATAGAGAAATACGAATGCAAAAATTTCAAAGGTAAAACACTTGGTGATTGAATGAACTTTTAATAAAAGATTAATGTAATAAAATCCATTGTTCTTGACGTTTTGTACCACTAAACGAATGATATGAATGAAATTAATATGCTGCATCATGTAGTTGCAGTCAATGAATGAAACTTATCAAAGAACGAGTTATATGAATTAAATATTTATTTATATAATAATTTATTACAATCAATGATGTACGAAGTAGCAATTTTTCAATGAAATTTAACTTGTATCTCGGTTATGAATTCAACAAATATATCATAGTAACTTTATTATTGTAGTTAAATTAATTACAATTATTATGAAATTTTTATTATCAATTTAATGTATGCAATAATAACAATATAATTTATGACGTAAAATAAAAGTCATAAATTTCAGAAAATTCTAAAAATAAAATAATATCCATAGTTGACAGGTATTTTAAAAAAAAATTACCACTCATTAAACGATAGTAAAATTGCTAAAATATATACATTATTATCAAAATGACAAGATAAAAAAACAACGTAAGAAAATCCAGAAAACATTCCACACAGTAAATACCTATCCACCAATACTATAAATTGGCTCTAATTAACCATACCGTTAGGTTAAACAGTGTCTCATATGCACGAACATTATCCGCCTCGAAGTTCCCTTGAGGCAAAAAAATGCGACCAAAAGTTCCATCCCATAAAGAAAAAAAAAAAAAAAAGAAATCTTCAATTCACCGATTCCTCCGTTCTATATCTACCGATCCGTGTCATAAATTAATCCTCCAGAACACGTGCCCAAAAGTCCCTTTCTAAGAAGCATTTAAAATGCAAATGCCGAAGCCCATCTTTCTCGAGGATCTCAGGTCGCCAAGAACGGTTCGAACGATTCTTAGAGAATCTTTCGAAGGTCGGGTTGGAATCGGTGTCAATATCATACGATCCATCATAAATTTGGTGATCAACTTCTCCCACCACTCTATCTATCCCACCAAGATCTATCGAGAATCACCGATCCACACATGATCGAGTGGGCTCATTTTCGAGGCGCGAAACGACACTCGTGGACAACACATAGAGTTGCGATTACGCATTACACGTATAGCGGTATATGTACAACAGTGATAATACACGCGTAGTGAGACTCGCGCCGGGCCAAATATTCGCTCCTTTCCCTGACGAATTGGCTGGCCGGTCGGTCGGTCGGCCTACGAGGTCGACAACACGACAACTCTTACCACTAACGTTCTCCATGGACACACTCGAGTTTCGAGCTGGTCTGACTGACAACGCCGGCGAGAGACTCGTCGAGAAAGACAGGCATGCTCGAGGGACAGTGATGGAAAACGCTTTGCACGCGGGAAGAAACGAGATTTATCCGGTATAAACCTGTGATAGTCGGTTTCCGTACCACCTCGTACACATTCCCCGATAACTGGACAGCGGTAGCGCGGGATTTAACCGTTTTCTATGATTCGAACCGTTCGATCGACGCTTCCTCCCTGGCGGGCAATGGCACTTCCGTTTATTCTGCTTGATTCTGTGCGCGCGACGTGGTCCAAGTTTTCACTCGAGAGATAGGTTCCAGGTAAACCGTAGTTTTATTCCTTTTCTTCCTTTTTCTCTCTCTCTCTTTCAGTCTCCTTTCTTTCTTCGTGTTTATAGGTTATGGAAGTTAATTGATCTTTTAAGGTTATGTCAATTTTGATCAATTGATCGCTAAATTGTAGTTGATTATGATATATCACGTGTTCTTTATGATCATACGTATTCATAATTATAAATTAATATTTGTACAAACAAGAAAATAATTATTGCCTTATAATTTAAAGGAAGAAATAAAGGATGGAAAAAGTATTATATCCATTCCTTTTGATAAGTTAAGTATATGTTATATTTTCTATGGATCATTTTATCACAAAAAATATAAAATAAAGAAGAATCCAGATAGATAATGTTCTATAGTAGGCGAAAGGAATGGAGAGGGAGTTGCATGTTGACGGCCTTGTGTAGTCAATTGATTTCGAACGAACTATAAGCGCGCCTTGCTGAAACCTGTTTCTATTGAGTTTCTTCCGATATCTGTATGAAGAATTTGTACTGTTGGAACTGGGAATTGTTCGCGTTTAGAACAGAGGAAATTTTTGCTGATTTTTTTTTTTTAATAGACTTGTACAATGGTTTGTAACATAGTGTAAGTTGATATAAAGATTGATATAAAGACTGTATTTTAAGTGCACGATTATGAAAATGCGATAAATGTATTCATGGAACAATGTATAACTATAATGACTCATCGTTGCGAATATATAATTTTTCCTAAGCATATGTTTCTTGATTACATTTAATTTATGTTTTCGCGGTTTACGTTTGATCGAAACTATTATTTGCATTTTCTTCTTCGTCTATTAACGGTATACCTTTGATAAAGATATATATATACATATATTTTACATTTCTTGAATTCCTGAAAAAATTATTTCTAACGCTTTAATCATTCAATATTTCTTTAATAAACTTCTCCAATATTAATGAAATATTAAAAAAAAGAAACAAGTATCTTTAACATATATTTTCCAATCATTGTTCAATCCATTCAATCATATTATTGTTACACATAAATAAATTACATTTTTATTTATTTTATCGAAAGTATCGATTATAGAATGAATCATATATAATCATATTGTCATTCGTATTTCATTCAAACATCATCGCCTACCTTTTTCTATTCGCACTTTTCGAATTCAACTTCGATTTAAAAATAATTTTCAAACTTTGTAAATATTCATATTCAACTTTACGAACACAGGCGAAATATTTCCGATTTCCCGTTGTTTAACCGAGGAAATTACTGGAACAGTTGAATTGCTTTGCGCACATAAAACTGAACTTCTTCGAGCAGGAAAATCGCGTTCCAGCCTAACATACATGGGTTTTGCACACACGTAACAAGTCGAATATATTACAAGTCGATAAGTAGGACTTGCGGACAATCGGAAACGATGGTGGGAGACATTGTAAACATACTACGATATTATCAACGACGCTCTGGTGAAAGTTCCTGTCGTTCGCCGTCCGATGACCGCGTACGCGGATTGGCCAATGTAAATTCCAGAATACGTGGATATGTTTCGCTTTGGTGCGGTATAATCACCGCTTAGCACGATATTTATACGTTTGACGAACGAGATCGTTCGCGATACAAGAGAAAACGATGAATATTTTTTTTTTTTTTTTTTCAACGAATATAGTGAAATCTCTCACGATTTATTATCGATCGATGAGTCGGTTTTTTTTTTTTTGAGGGAGGAGGAACGAAAGGAACATTTCCTCTATCTTTAACCTTTTCGATTTTATCATATATGTGTCGCGTTTTATGAAATTTTTTTTAAATGCCTTTAAATGTGGTGAATATTGAATGATACGGATGGCCGATAGATCGTAATCGGATGCATAAACTTTTGCGTACATATTGCAAGCTTGATCGCCTGCAAAGTTAAGGAAAAAACTTGATAAATCCTTGAGAGATTTATGCTTACGGTGCGATAAGATTGCATTTTGTTTAGGGTCTCGCATTCCTTTAACATGAATTTTATGTAACGCGGTTTAAGAAAAATGTACGTAATAGAATTCGATTTTCGATAAATGTGGTATCATTAATAAGTGTCACAGTTTATAAGATCGAGGTATAATAATAAAAATATCCTATATTCGCTCCATTAATTATTTGTATATCCATTAGGTTATCGTAACGACAAAATTATTATAAAACAACGAATTTTTGAAAATAGACAGAAGGAGGAAAATGATCGAATAAATGAAAAAGAAACACGAGATACGCGGGGAAACAATACAGAATAAATTGTATTTACTTCCGAATCTTCATAATTCTTCGATCACGCCAAATTTTTTTTTTTTTTTAAGTGCTCAGCGGGGGAGAGTTCGGCAGTGGCAGCGAGAACAGCACCACCAACTCGAACAAGATCAAGCACTGCGGCGCAAATTTCTGCGTCCTTGGGAACGGTGGTCACGAGACCTTGGAGCGTCCTCCGGAATCGGAGATCTATGAAATATCTGCGATCTATCTGTCTTGTGTAATCGTCGCCGTCATCATCGTCGCCCTGTTCGTCGATCCGCTCTCGAGGTAAGTGCCAACATTTGTACATTTGTACAACAGGCTCGCGCGCGATTGGTCGAAAAGGCGCCACGCAGCTTTCCACTCTCCGTGTCGACCTTTAATTTCTCGCCTCTGCTTCGACCGGTCATTAATACCGGTTACAAATGCCTGCCTGACGCTCGTAATAACCGTATTTATTGCATTATTCGAACATTGTATCCCGCGAAAAAAGAAGGAAATAATAATAATAAAAATAATAATAATAATAATAATAATAATGAAGCAGGCAGATTCGCGCCGCCGAGAGAATAAGAAATCGTCCTCCAGGTTGATGATGATAGCGTTGAAATTACTTTCGCGTTATTTATCGTTGATAATTCAAATGTTGGATGACTCAAGTGCAATAGGTAGCCGTTCATTAAGCGGTACGCACACCGTTTCTTTTATTGGAACTGCTACGGTTAACGATTTATCGGAAAATCGACTCGACGATCACACGTAACAAGATGGAAATTTCGCTTCGAGAAATTATCCGTTAATTACGCTTGATTGATAATTGTGAGGCTTTGATCGTGTCGTCAGAGTTTGACACGACATTTCGTATTCCCTCGTTCCTTCGATGAATAACGATTTATCGTGTAATTTCTTCGAAAGGAAAAAATTATTTTCCAATTATTACATTATCCTATAATATATTCTCGCTTATTATTCATCCTTTATAACATTATTATAAATTATGGATTTCATTGCGCGAATTAATCAAGCGATTTTATACAGCGGTTGATTAGAAACGATTATTTTCTATTTATAATTGTTCATTAAGGAATGATTGTTCATTCAAGGAGTTAGAAATTTATTAGTAATTTATACGTGTCGTCTTACGACGATGCAGCATGTAGGACGCAAAATAAATTACACGTTTCTCGACGACTTATGATAAGACGTCTTAGCCGAAGGATTTCATTAAGTCGCGTATCCACGATGATCTTGAATTGCTAACGAATACAATTCTCTCGTATTCGAGAGAATTGGCCACGGGATCGTTTTCGTTTTAATAGTCAATATTTGATATCCCGTAGTTAAAGAAGTCCCATGAAATCGTATTTATCATGTAACAACCTTCCGCTTGTTATTACCGAGAAAACACTCGAAGCTTCTGGAAGAGACTAGCACACCTTGGACGTCGCTTAAAATTAAGCAAATATCGTCTCTATCGTTTTCGAGATGGATCATTACCGAAATTAACTAGCGAAACTCTGTATTTTTCTGTTTCCGCTATTGGAAACCCATCATTTCATTTCATTTTTTTTTTTTTTTCAACTCGCTAACGTTGTAATATCGGAATCTCCCGATTTTGCCCCGCGTAATTTTCCTTTCTTCCTTGAAATTTCCGTGCGTTATTTTGAATTATTTTTCAATAATTCGAATGCGAAACGAGAAAGAAAAAGAAAAGAAAGCTGTTTTTATTAACATTAGCAATTCTTCGAGAAGATAAACACGTCTTAATACTGTAAAGTTGAGAAATCGCGTATTTCGTTTTTATCTCAAAATTAAGATAATACGATAAATTCAATTAGCACTTGCACACACGCTGCTCGTGTTATTCGAATCATGATTTGTTGGAATTTAACGGTTTACATTTCCAAAACTGAACACACTGTACGGCATGCTCGCGTGTCACGTTCATAAGTTCATATATATGAGATAAGATTTTTGACATCTTTGTTTATTAAATTAGTTGATTTTAAGACGACAACGAGCGGGAAATGGCAATATAACTCGTATCTCAACGCGAAAAGGATCTTAATTTCATTATGCCTCGGCTAATTTCTATTTATTCTCATCTGTTTATCCCATTTAGTACGTCAGTTTTAAGTGGCTCTAACTCAAAAAACTCATTCATATAAAAGAATAGACAATCCTCTGTGTAATCTACAAAAGAGCAAATGTTATTGAACCCCTGTTATTTAACAAAAAAATTGTCACTCTCGATGAGTCATTGGCACAACGGTTGGCTTGCCTTTCGGATAAGTATAATGATGAAAAAAATAAATAAGATTTAGGCACGATAAAGTACGATCGATGAATGACGTGGATAGAATTGTTAACAACTATGAAATTATCAACGTTAAAACAGATATTGATCCAGTTTAGTCCCTCGAGGACAACAACACTATATATTTTAGAGTTAATCATCGTATTATGGACACAAGACGAGATTTATTTTTCTTCAATTAACGTTTAATATTTGCTTGTGTACGCTTTGAATCAGTATTCAAGTGTGTGTCAATAAGTACAATGCTCAATAACTATGAATAATTTTGTTTTACGATTGTTTTTTTCCTTTTTTTTTTTTTTTTTATTTTTTTTTTTTAATGTATGTTCTCTGGATAAGTCTATCGATAATAATTTATTTCTTTTCTCAAAACAAAAATTTTTCCACGCAATTGTCAATAATGCATTGATCAATAACGATATTGAATTATCGTTAATTTATGTTCAGCCTTGAATAAAATTAAGCGTCTCATTTCGTTCGTTCAACTTATTATTTTATTTGAATGGATAAGAGTTTCTCGGCCCTTTTTAATGACCATTATAAATCATTATATCACGGTTTCATATTTTATTAATTTCATTTTCTTTCCTGATAATTGAAACATGACAATTCTAAATTCCAAATTGAGTAGAAAAAAAAAAAAAAAAGAACAGACTTTTTATCTTTCTGCTAATTTGTATGATTGATATTAAATCAGTTAAGATTGTCATGTATAATTATTTCGTCTTATTTTTTCGCCTATTTGAAGTTTTTTTAAATGTTTATTCAAATTTTAAGATGGAAATTTCGATCGATATCANATTGAGTAGAAAAAAAAAAAAAAAAGAACAGACTTTTTATCTTTCTGCTAATTTGTACGATTGATATTAAGTCAGTTAAGATTGTCATGTATAATTATTTCGTCTTATTTTTTTCGCCTATTTGAAGTTTTTTTAAATGTTTATTCAAATTTTAAGATGGAAATTTCGATCGATATCAGATATTACATGTATGATAATTTCGTTTAACGGAGTTTATGAAATATCATTCTTGACACGCAACAGTAGCGATAAACCTTTAAGTTGTTATGAAATTTGCTTTATCTAAATTTGCACATATTATGGAAAATAATTTAAATAGATAAAGCATGTAAAGTCAGGTTTAAATTTTTGTCCATTGAGGAGAAATAAATTATCTAATTATATATAGGTGTATTTATTTCAAAATCTTTTACGAGTGAAATTTTAAACAGCCGCAAGAAAATCGCGAGCGATTAAATGTTTCGCAGGAGCCATTGTCATGAAAGCCGCTGAGAAAACGAAACGTCACGAATTGGTTTCTAACCAGGATGTAGGTTAATGAAGTTGTCACGCTAGAAATCAATGTCAAAACCGTTTCACTTGCGTGGATTCGCAATGAATGGGAAAAAATAATAATAATAATGAAAGAAAAAAGACCAAGGAAAAAATTACAGTCGAGCGAGAAAAAGAAAAAGTCCACCGTCGCCATCTGATTAAACGTAGAATCGTTCTTCCATAACGATATATAACAACGATATAATCAAACAATAAGAAGATCGAAAGTCGAGAATATTCATGTTTCGAAGAAATCAATTCGCGCGGATCCAAAGTTGGTTAAGAACGAGAGACATGGAACAAAAGAGGAATGAGAGAAGAGCATGAAGGGAAGATTAAAATGGGGGGGGGGGGAGAGGAGGGGAGGGGAAGGATCGCTTCGTGTTTCGATCGATTGGATGATGGAAGCGCGATGATGTGATCCGGGTACTCCCCTGGAAGCTTGCCTAAGGGGAAATAAATTATACATATCCTTTCGATGGGCAGGTGTCAACGAAAAAAATGCCACATCGCTTCGGGATACACGCCTCTTCGTTAACTGTCGTGATTTTATTTTATTAAAAAAAAATTTATTTACTTTTTTTTCCTCATTTTTTTCCCCTCTTCTTTTTTACGCTTAAACTTAAACATAATTTACATGTATAAAAAATTGTTTTTCGAATTTCCATAAAATTCTACGTCTTTTTATTTCTTTTCATTTTTTTTTTTTTTTTTTTTTTTTTTTTTTCGTTCAATTGGAATGGTATAAGATGTTTGTTTCTTTTCCGATAAGAAGAAAAAGTTTCTTTTTATAGAAAAAAATCTTCTCAATCAATCAAACTAATCAAAGATTGTTCTTTTCTTAGAATAATTTCTTTACAATAATTTTTCTCCTTCAATCAATCAAAAATTATTCTCTTCTTTATAAAATTTATTTCTCTGAATCAATTCGAAAGAATTTTTCAATTTATTTTACAAAAGATAATAACTTTTCTTTAATCGAAGCAAAAATCTCTTCTTCTAGTTTTGTTCTCTAATTATTTTATTAATTATTTTCCAATCGAATCGATCAGAACTTATTTTCTTCTCTGTCGAATAAATTCCCCCATATTAATAATTATAATAATTCTCGAATCATTTCGAATTGATTTTTTTTTTTCTTCCATCACGCACGATAGGATTTATCAATGGCCGATGGATGTATTACTACGAGCCTCGTGGAGGAAGCGAGTTTCCAGAAGTTTCCGGCAGCGGTTCATGAAAACTCGCCCACATAACGGAAGAGAAAAAAAAGAGCGAGAAAAAAGACAGTGATGTTTTTTTCCACGAGTATTACGAAACGTGCACCTTAATAAGCGTGTATCGCGCGAGATCCGCGCAAGATCCCCCTCCCCTTCACCCATTCAGAATCGCTATAAACATTGCTCTGCTCATGATTACAAAATAGCGTACATCCGACGCGGGATGCATCGAAGCACGGCGGTTACACAATCACCCGCCGCAATTTATACTTATTAAAACTCGATAAATTTCTAGCTGTTGCCAGCATTAAAATCTCGGGTGTATGCCGAGGGTATGCATGTGCCTGGCGCGCTATTGAATTCGAGAAGCTTTACGATTTGAAAAGAGCCATGTTATATTCGTATTTAAGAAAAAAA